TCGGATTCCTCATCACTCTCCCACCCTTCCCTATTGCACGTGGTTCAGGGTACCCATCTGTAGACACTGCCCTTGAGAGTCACCGTAGTATCATCTGTCAAACATTTCACACCGCCACATTACAGCACCCACAGCTTGTGTTTGAAGGCACTTGTAGATCGCTTAAATCGTGGTCACCTTTGAAGAGCTGCCTTCTTTTGGCATTTTAGACCATTTTAACCACAACACTTCCAAAAGTTTTAACTTGGACAACAAATGTGAATTCTCTGTGCAACGTGTACATTTCGATAAGCATCACCTACTTAGATTCCCTATCAAGTAAGAAAAATAGGATTTTGGTGTTTTTTTTTTTTTTTTTTTTTTTAAATTTCTTAAAGTCAAAAGTATACTTCTGCCTTTTACACGATGTGACAGAGGAGTATGTTGGTCGAAGCAATGGCGTTCGGTGTTCGGCTTCAGCAGAGGCGCTGGTCACAGGTCCTCGCTTTCTACCAAGCCGCTGTTGAGCGCCAGCTGAGATGGACCTGCTTCCGGCTGGAAGGCGGCTTTGATGTCTAGTCCCTGGTCCGAAAGGGCCGCGTAGCGACTGGCCGAGGGCCGTACTTTTTTTGGCTTGGTGGTCGGTGGCTGCTGGTGCCACTGGGCTGCGGAGAAAGAGAGTAAAGGACGATTTTTAGAAGTCTAAATACACACAGACTGTCTTTCGGGTAGAGCCTTGGTGGCTCACACCTGCAATCTCAGCACTTGGGAGGCAGAGGCAGGAGGATTGTTGCAAGTTTGAGGTCAGCTTGGGTTGCACAGTGAGTTACATGCCAGCCCGGGTTTCAGAGCAACAACCTGTCTCTGAAAACAAAAGGCACACGCGCAGAATGATTGTCTTTTGATATATGTGAGCGGTCCATACATGTCTCTTTAAAAAGATTTTATTTTTTATATATGTGAGTGTGTTGTCTGTGTGTATGCACGTGCACTGAGTGTGTGCCTGGGTGTGTAAGTGTGTTGCCTGTGTGTATGCATGTGCACTGAGTGTGGACCCGGTGCCTGGGTGTGTGTAAGTGTGTTGTCTGTGTGTATGCACGTGCACTGAGTGTGTTCCTGGTGCCTGTGTGTGTGTGTGTTGTCTGTGTGTATGCGTGTGCACTGAGTGTGTTCCTGGGTGTGTAAGTGTGTTGCCTGTGTATGTACGTGCACTGAGTATGGACCCGGTGCCTGGGTGTGTGTAAGTGTGTTG